TTCTGGCTCCTTAGTTTGCGTCTCTGGCTCTTTAGTTTTCGTTTCTGGCTCCTTAGTTTGCGTCTCTGGCTCTTTAGTTTTCGTTTCTGGCTCCTTAGTTCTCGTCTCTGGCTCCTTATTGATCGTGTGTTTCCACGAAAGGTTCAGTGTGCCCCCCGTTGAAATGTCGATGAAATGATGTACAGAGATATATAAAATCTTCTTCTTTTTGTCATAGTGTGATGTCTGGGTATTGACATCGACCTACAAGGTGAGCGATTTCGTTTTGCGGTTTAGCAAACTTTGATAACACTAGCAATCCACGTTAGAGTTATGGAAACCGGTATTTGCCTATAAATCAACATCGAACCTTTTTTCCATCATGCTCGAAGCTGGTAAAGTCTGGAAAGTGTTCGTAGTGGAAGATCTCTATTATATCGAGCGTGGGAACGGCCAGATTTTTCTGAAAGTGAGAATATAGAGGACTGAAAAAGTTTTGTTTTTTACACCCAATCGATGCTAATAGACTGAAGCCGCCACATAAAATATCGTTTATCGTATCGTGAGGAGTCTGCCGCTGATTGCAAGGTGCCCTTCATCCCACCTTTATATAATCGGCTAAGCGCGTCTGTTGGTGTATGTGTTTGACTCTAAAATCATAGCGCGCACCAGCTGCCGTCAGAATTTGGTTTCAAGGTACGATATAGGAGGTGCGACGAGAGCATATTTGGTAGGGACCAGAGACAGCAGCTAAGAGGGTTATAAAAAGCGCAAATTTCGAAGCTCTTATCCAGATGCGCGGTGAGAATGCATTTCTTCCGATGTTATTGTGATCCATTCGACTGCTTATCTGCCCGTGCTTATTAAATGCTCGGTGTCTGCGGAAATACGGTAAGCATTGATATTTTTTCCTCCGCGCAGGCAATGGAAGTCATTCTACCGCTACACGCTCCCAACATCCAAAGCATGGTAGATGTTTGCGTTGAGGACTGATAATAAGCAGCCCAGGTAATTGTATTAGTTATCCGAAGGTCACTCGGTCGCTAAACTTTGTTAGTCTCAAAAAATGATAAATGTTTATTGGTATTGAACAAATTGTGAGGAATTACTGCTTTACCATCTGCTTTCCATTGAAAGCCTATGTACTCAATATGTACAATAGCCTTGCTACACTCACCATCAGTCTCACTGAATCCTACGTTGACATGGGCGCGGTAGCGAGCAGAGCAAAACTGGTTTTAGTTGATTGATATCATTCATAGGAATGCAGAGTATTTTGGGCGAAGCACAGGCTGAGACTTTGAAATGTAACGAAAGCCGTTGTAGGGTCGAGTGAACTTGCCTCGACGGCTTCATAAACATATGACTCGACAGCTTCCTATGCACAGTACGAGCTGTCGTATACTCGAATTTCTCACCCGTCCCGTTACCTTTTTTTGCAAAATTCTATGTAAATTTTGAAGTGAGAATTGCATTGGACTCTTGCATCATTCACTAAGCCTTTCTCGGTTTTTGCACAAGTACATCGCTAGCTCGCCTGTCCTCCGTGGCGCTGGTAGCTTTCGATTGGTGTAGCTGTATCAGACATGCTGCTATCATGTGCTGAAATCTTGTCCAATCCTCATTCTCTTAAAGTCCCACTCACCTCTACTCTGAAAATGTTACAGCGCCAAGGGTGCTCATGTGGCCCTATCCTACGCCGCTAGTCAGTCTGATCCCCACCTTCTTGCTGGCGCTTCTATCACGACGGATCTGCTTCACTACTACTATATCTGTACCAACGATGCATGGAGGGAACAGGACAATAATAGCCCAACTCACTGCTTGTCGTTTCGTTTTGATCGCCAATTGTGCTCCTTTATCATTCATGTGATACTTGAAAGTCCAGTGGTAGTAATTGTGGGTAGAGAAGGACTCGACCACGCTTTCGCCGTCATCCCAATAAAGAGCTCCCTCAGCCTTGCCTTTCTTTTCTGTAAATTAAAAAAAGTGGCATTAATTTTTCTTCCTATTTTTTCTTCTTTATCTGTTTTTTTTTCGACGCAGGAAGCCTTGGATTCGGAATAATGATGCACTTCCCTACTCGACGTGGAGACTATTCTTCGATCAGTTTCGATCAATGTTGGCGTCTCACCCTCACGCTCACATGTTCCTCGAGTCGATCAACGACTCCAAGTATCATTGCTCAGAACCAAGAGCGAAAAGATTGACGTACAACGAATGCATGAAAGAACTTTCGTCATTCTAGGTGAGAAACTTTCACCGCGAAACCAAGACAGCGTTAGGTTTGCCGTGCATCCATCTATTGTTCACATCATTTACCCTCAGAGGATCATATCTTCTCACTCTGCTATTCCTATGCTCCCTTCGACATAGCACGCAGTCAAGACCGTCAATAGCACCACCTAATCCACACCGACACTGCGACCGAAGAAGCCAAGCCAAGTCAAACAGAGAACAAGGTGAGCCACCTTACACCTTTGCCGTACAAGTACTAGGTAAGTAATTGTGCTCACAACTCTGTAATATCCCCAATTATGATAAGTTTGGTTCTTCTTAGTCCTGAATCCTTCACTAAGAAAACAAAAAAAAGAAACTGGACTCACTGCCGGAGGTGAATGGAGCAATCAAAAGCTCAAAGGCATTCTCTCGAGATGCAGAAGTAGTTGTGTTGGCTGCTTGGCGCGGCAAAATAGAGCCACCTGGGACAATTAGAATAGTAATTAGAAAATATCAAGAGTTGTCCAGGTATTCAAGGGTGTTGTTTGTGTGTGTTTGTTTGGGTTGTTTCAAGGGAGCCTTCCGTACATGTTCCACACAATCCATAGTAAACCCTTAATTCGTCAAACACGCTCAACACTCAATTACTCGCTCCATCTCAATACATCTTCAAGTGCGCCTACTATATCGCCAACCCAGAAGAAGGTGCAGAACTGTGCTGTTACACAAGAAAGAAGTTCTAATTGAGAGCATATCTCAAAATGCAACTATGTCATAAGAGAAGAGGGTAAATTGTATGGCGAGGTGTTGGAATCATATCGCAGCAACTCGACCCAACCACCTCTAACTCAGTCTCTCGCTCTACACCAACACCGATAGAGTTGTTCATCATCACACCAAGTTCGCCACGAAATTGTCTGGCAAAGACCCTAGGGATGTTCACGATACTCTTGTCACACAGGGGTCCCGCCCTAGTTTTGACGTTATAGGTCGTGTCCTTGTTTGTATTTCTTTCACGTCTCGTCGTTCCCTTTCCCTTTCCTCTCCAGCCACTATCTGCTCCTATAGGATCAATGATTTTCTGCTCTATTAGCACAGGGTGGTAAGTGGACCAATTCGTAAGAAGAAGAGGTAAGACGACAGTGAAGGGTAGGATGTAAAAAATTTGAAGAGTAACCTCGGACAAAAACTGGAATCAACGACGTTAATGGAGCCGGATAGTTTCGAGTACCACTTTCACATGCTTCTCCGTACTGGAAATCAAATAACGAATACCAGTCGTCTTTTGGTAGATAGACGTCTACGGAGTTTGCATTCTGAATTGGATAGAATATTAGCACGCAATGTCTGAAGATTTTTTCACTATTCATTTAACAATTGACTTGCCACTCTACTCTACTTACTCTCGTACCTCATGCAAAGCAGGAGCGATAAGCATTGATCGTCCCCATAAAAACTGATGACTTAAATTGTGAGTGTTCTTGTCGTTCGGATACTCATAGAATTAGCGGTCGGATTACAGTTCCTCCCTTCATAGAGGCAATAAAATGTAAACTAAAAAGAGTAACATTCATGCTGCAGTGTTCAAAACAAGTCCAGATGCACCTCGAAAATGCCATAATCGAACTTTAGTGGAGTCATATTGGAGATGTGCGCTCTTGCCATGATCACACCGAAAACCTCCGTCTACATAAAGTATATAATCTGGAGAGAAGCTGATAATTTTTCAACCTTTGGTTGCTTCTTCACTTGTATCAAAGGTATAGACGCACGATATGTAAATTTATCTAAAACGAGAAATTTTCCACGAAAAATGTCGCCGAATAAATAAAGCACCACCTAGCACAAAATGTTACTCATCATCTCGTGAAATTCCAAAAGTTACATTCTTATTCAAAGTGGAGCGGCTTTTTATTTGCGATGTGCACAGCGCAGGTCTGATAACCATTAACGATCGCGTCGTTTCGATTCGTTAGAATTTTGCGCATTTGAAAAGCTCAGAAACACCTTTCTTGTCATGGGCATGAATCCTACAGACTACCTGAATGTGCTGGAACGCCATTTTCTGCTGTTCTTTCCCATTACTACATGTACATCAGAATTTGTTTCGAGGAGGACATGACGGCTGCCCGTGTGAGTCATTTAGAAAGTCGTGTATAAATGACCGAGTTGTGGGCTCTATTGGACCAACGTGTTTGTTCCCAGGTATAGACATTATAGGGAGAACCAGAGCGTCTGATCTTGAAGTACTGTTGATTACAGAGAGGCTTTTTCGCGTGATCACTCAGTCACGAATGCGATCATTTGGGTTGATAACTTTTGAGCAAGTCCGCGAAACAGTGTTGAACCGCAGCTCCAAGGCCCCTTTAAAATAAGAAGAACAAATGGTTCATTAGACTGTTGTTGTTAGCTCGCTTTCATGCAGATATCAGTTAACATCCGCAGGGCCCAAACATTTTATACAGCCGAAGTTGCCACCAACTGTCGAAACACGTTTAGTTTTCCACCAATTTCTACGGAAGATGGTCTACGAGGTTCTCCGGCATTCTGATTCTGATAACAGCAAGCATTCAATATGGACTTCTCTGAAGTTCGATTATGGCAGTTTCGAGGATGCGTCTGTACTTATTATATGAAATATTTAAATATTGTAATGCTCTTCTCAAAAGTGATGAGACACTGAAAAAGTTTTAAAAAAGCTGCTGAGAGCTGGTCACCGCATAGAGGATTTCCCTCCCTCTGTCGTAAGGATTGTGCTATGGAGCCCGTGGTTGACACGTGCATCTAGGTACCATCAGTGGATGTATAAGTAAGTATAAGTGTATTTGTACATGTATAAGTAAGTGTATTTATAAGTGTTTATATGAATAAGGTAGTGTTTGGGGGATCAAGCCAGCATGAACGCAAGACATGTTTTGTTACTTATATGTAATTTGATAGCTTTTAAACGCATGGGTAATCAAAAGCTGAACAGTTGAAATTTCGTCAATTTAAGCCGGTTGAAGCAGGGCACATTCTGCCTAGTGCAGCTGTAGTGAAAGAGCAAAGAACGCTGCTAAAAACGTTAAGTGAGCTAAGCGTAGCCCCGCCCGCGGCAGTCTCATTGCTGGCTCGTTTCCTTTACTGAATTTCCCATAGTTTGCTGTATTAAAGCAAAAGCTCACATTCAGGCAGAGGTGGGGCTCAAACCACGCCCCTGCGTGAGTCGGCACGCAGTGCGATTTAAGAAGTCTCTAGCGCTTTTCGCCCTCTATTCAAAACTGTTGAGCCAGCCACTACCGCTGGATAATTTTTGAGCTCAGTTGCTAGTGGTATTTTATCGCTGTTTTGAAGCTGTGCCATCTAACAATTTTCCTGAATGCCCAGGCTTTAAGACCGAAAACCAACCCAGAGGTCTTTGCCTTCAAATCTTAGATCCGAAAAACTTCTAAGACTTGGCGTTTCCTCAAAATCCGTCATTATATTATACACTTTTTACCTAAACAAATAGGGCAGGTATCTGTATCGGAACAGCGTAGCTTTCTTCGTTGCCTCAGTTACACTTGGCCATAGTGCGGGATCTTGCGGTGCTTCGCCTTTCGTATTATGATTTCTGAAAATGTTTTTTATAGCGGTTCATCGAGCATATAGTAGGGAAACCATTTCAATAGTTCCACGTGAATTCCTACCTGGAATAGAAAACGTGAAAACGTAAAGTACTCTGGTAAGTGTCTCAAACGGTAGGCCCGCTCTCTGACGCCCGACCTCCAGCCGAGCTTCCCATCAGTCCCACCGCGCTCCTGTGCGTGCCCGACAGAAGGAGCGGTTCCAACTACCCCGGGGACACAAAGGGCGCCCGCCGCAGCTTACCAACAAGTAGCCGGATGGCTAACCTAGGTATGCAGCCCTACTGCCCATAATATACAGGGGGGCCAAAAAAAAAGACATTTTGCCTATGTCGGACTTCGGCTCTATTTTCTTCGCAGAGATTGCTGTCGTTGACGGGAGTTCCTCAGCATAGTATTCTCTAAGTGTTCCTCTATTAGTGTACGCAGGCTCTCCTTCACTGCCCTCACCGTCTTCAGAATATGACGTCATCTGTCACCTCGTCCAGGGCTCAAGGAGGTAGCCGTAAGAGCTTCACCGAAGTCTTACGCAATTTTGTGATCGATTTAATGTTGGATAGTCTAGAGCATTAGCTACCCTGTTGCAATCCCTCGGAACTAGCTTTCCAGTAAGGGTCGTTAAGGTACTACGATCCTTCGAAAGACCCTTTGAGATCGACCAGTGCACCATGTTTCCAGGGCTAATTCTTCTGATGCCGTCCACGTACGTGCGCCACTTGAAGATTTCTTGTATAGAATGGAATGCACTCTTCAATAATAAGTTGGAACCGTTCGGTCTGAGTTGAGTAAAATGTGCTCAAATCCATCTGGAAGTGGAGGCAAAATGTCTTTTTTTGCCCCCCCCTGTACACACAATAAGAGCCAGATATGAAATGGATAAACGCTCATAGACATTAATACACAAAGACATATGGATAATCATAAAATATTTATTAACGCATTAACCTCACCGCCTCAGAGATTCCTGGACACCTCACTCAGAGCAGCTGACGCAACGTGTTGGGCTCCCACGTGGGCTCGGGATCTATTGGGGCTCCATGGCCGACGGCCGACGTGTCCTGATGAGGGGTTCGTAAGGAGCTGCTTCAGAGGGTAGCAGGGAAATACGACCAGCTCTAGGAGGGCGGCGCTCGGCCAGGCTTGGGCTACGGGGCGATGTGGCCTTTTGCCTTGGGCTTGCCTGATCACGTTTCCTGGTGAACGCCGACCTGTCGCCGATGGCCGGCTTTCATGAGTACCAACACGCGGTCAGTGCGGTAGGCGACAACAACTGGCCTCCACCCCAGGGGCTTGGCCAATCGCGTGAGGGCGCACTGGCTGCTGAGCGCAAGTGGGCCGGGGCGCGCGGTGCGCCCAGAGGGCCACAACGATGAAGGAAGTATGGTTCTCCTGTGAGTGTCTCCAAATGTCTTGAGAGAACGGTGGACACTGGTGCGGTTCTGATAGCGTCATTGAACGTTATTTATGGAGGATATTACTCATGCCGAAAGTTTCAGAAGAGATCAGGAGAATATAGCAGTATAGCAGGTGTCTTGGAAGTTCACTCATTGCAGGGAGGAGAAAAGAGTGACGGATTAAAAGAGATAGCTCAATGAATAAACTGGTAAGAAAGTACTGGAATTCTCGGTTTGTTCCAAAAGTTACTTGCACGTTGGTGCCATGCCATGATAAGGTGATGAGCCTAGCAAAGCCACGAATAAGCAAAAATTGATGAAATGTTCACATTATTCAAACGATGTTATTACCTCATGAAGGGATGGAATGCTCCCAGTTGCTGCCATCGTAGGCAGAGTTCTTCATTTGTTTTCTTGAAGAAGCCACATATGTCCGCTCCGATGAACCTAGTCGGTGCAACTTTTAATAGAGGTGAATCTCTTATTCAACTGCGCTTTCTCGCAGAAAATTGGCTCACGGTATTCCGAACATGTTGAATTCCATAGCACCAATTATGGATGCCCGAAGGTCTTCCCAAGTAGCGGAATTGTCCCCCAACCAATGTCCAGTGTACCGTCCAGCCGACGGGAAAGTTGACCTGAGAAAGATACGGATTCCCTAATATTCTGTCACAAAACCTCAGAACAGGGGAATTCAGACAAAAAAAACTGATTCTCACACATTTAAAAGGTTTTTTGACCTACCGCGATACCACAATGCCTCGTTTTCCCATTGCAGCATAATGTGCCTTTTGAGTTATTCTTGCTTCACTCCAACCATAAAGGTTTTTTACATTGTAGAGCCTCTGCTTGCCATCCGCCTGTAGCGCCGTCATGCACAGCGTTTTGGATGCTAATAACGTTTTCTGCGAAAGTTAAAGGCTGAATTTACGTTGGAAACAAAGCATCTCGGATTTCAAGATCAAGTGGTCAATGATGCAGGAAGAGATGAAGATAAAATAAAAAGTTGATATAGAACCCGTGAAATAGAATCCCTCCTTACCGCTGCCTTCCGCTTTAGGCGAGCCTCTTCAATTGCCAAACGGCTGGTATCCGCGATTGGAGTCCCACGGCTGGGGGTGGCCCACCGTAGGATCTGTAGCGTAGTGAGCCTCGCCGGTACGACACTGCTAAGTCACTAGGGTATACTCTTCGCTGCAATATGCGCATCGTTTCGCATCCGAAGGCCGCTTTTCTGCAGTTCTACTGGGTATAGTTACCCTTCTCCAACACTGATCCACATCATGAAAAGCTCCTCTATGGCCTTCTGCAGTTGTGTTGTTGGAGGTGTGATGGGCCCTTGGTCAGGAGCTAATTTCATTTCTCCTAGCCACCGTTTACTGTTCTGTGCACTGCTAATGATTCTCTTGGTCTTACATAGACGGTGTGCACACGGTGCACTGACGTCATTTGCCATTACCGTTGAGCTCAAGGAGGCCTACCATAATCGTTTCACCCTGAAGCTGCTACACGATCTATTCAATCGGGAGTGAAACTCCAGTTTGGGGGGGCCTACTTCATTTTTTCTCCAATACTCAAGATAAGGATTAGAGGGCTCACGACACGTAATCAACTCATTAAAAGTAGACTCCTGATAAATATTGGTGTAATGGGTTAGAAGCCCTGAAACGTTTTCACGTTTCCGCCTACCATGACCCAAGGGAACGGCCCTGGACCGGGAGAAAGGACACCTTCGCAAAGGGCTAAGGGCGCAGGAGCTCCAGGGTGGATCACCTGTGCAGAAAAGTGGGTGGGATGTGGGCAGGTAGTGTGAAATGTAGGACATCCACCAGTCCTCATCAAAAGTACGCTCGAAATGAGTCGTTCACTTATTATCTTATCCGTAGTGTTCGATAGCCCAAAGAACTGCTCTATAGTACTACAGATAAGATAGCAATGGAGTGCCCCCCCCCCCGAACTGGAGTTTCACCCAATCGGGTATTTGTGGAAAGCTTCCCAAAGACAGTAGCTATTGATATGGATCTCTTTTACCAGCTGTAGTTTAACTAAAGTAGTTATCGTCCACAATCCGTCAAGGACTCGTTGAACTCTATCCAGACACAATTTTTCCGTTGCAAATTTTTCTGATATCATAGGAATAGAAGGCTAAAATGAAGCTTTCTGAAAGATCGGAGTGTGCTCTTCAGATTTCACTTAAGGTCATTTGGCTTGTAGGAAAAATTAATCAATTCGTAATTGGAAGCACAATTGCCGGAAAGCAAGAGATCCGGATACAGGGATCACGGACGGGGCGAAAGTTTTGCCCACACTTCAGTATTCTTGTAAGTGATTCCGTTTTAATGGAAGGTGGGTGTCCCTTTTTATTGCCCCTCCCTGTACTATGCTTGAATGGTGTTGAGACTCACATCTTTGTAGTGGTAAACGGAGTGTGTTTGGAAAGGTGGCACTTCCCATTGCTTATCTGTTGAATTTGTTGGACACCAAAGCGGCTCAATATTGGGATGATCGTCCATTTGAAAATACCACGGAACTTCTTCATTAGTGCCAAAAGCAGCCGGCTCATTCATATCAATCCAAATTCCATCATGTGGCACCTTAAAAAGAAAGATAAAGTAGACGCAGTGCGCAGTGATATAAGTAAGGAATGAAAGAACTTGCTCTTCTACCATGCTCATTCCTTCCTTTGCTGCTGTAGGAATGAAAAACCAATATTTACAGTAATCGCAAGGGGCCGATATCAGGTTTCGCAATTCGACTGATTCGCTAGCGTCCACAGTCGCGTTGTGGCGCAAGCTCAATCAAGCGATTTGCTGGCCGCTGACACAACCGAGGACCCTAGCGAATCGCCCGATTCAGGAAGTCTGACATCGGCCTGACATGGACATGGGACAGGGACAAAAGAGTGACTCAGTTATGTAGTAAATGGATCTGAGCCATAGGGAGGTGAAGGGATTCCGGGGGGGGAGGGAGGATCTGAGCCGTTCTTATCCTCTCCAATGTTTTCCCTTTCGTGGGCGTAGTCCATTGTCATCTCATTGCACTTCTGGTAAGCCTTACTTTGGAATTCCCCAACCGTCTCACCGACATTTCCCAACGTGACTCGAGACGCAGTAGAAGTCGATCTCACACCTCCTGCCTGTGTTTCAAGGTCAATATCCTGCACTTTCCTTCTTGATAACTTCTTTCGGGAAATCGTTCCGAAGATAACAACAGCAGATTTGAACTCAGCGTTGGGAGGCACGTACACGAGTATACATCTAATTTTGAATGGCCGAGCTGACCGCTTGACCTTTCTTTGGTATTGCGTCCACCCATTCAAAACCGTTCAATCCAAAGAAAAAACCAAGTATCCGTGGCGGCATTGCATTTCGCGAAACGCAGTACAGCAGTTGTGAGCAGGCGAGTATGCGCCTCCCTCCTACCCACACCTGTATGGCCGTTTCCATGGTAACAATTCTGTGACCAGTTGACACACTCTGACATCGCCCTGAAATTTCCCCTGGAACTAGGCAGCTTGCGAAAGCTTGCTCACTTATAATGTAGTAGGCTGAGGCCTGAATAACTACGTCACCTTCTTGTGGAAGTTAACAATTTCTTGAATCCACCAGTTCTTTGTGGCATCGGTCGGATCGAGGAAGTCCGGAAATGCAACGTGACGGTCCGGCCACACCACGCCAAGCATGATTTTTGTGCTTTTCACCAGAGGGTATAGGTCCTGCAATGAATCCATTGCCGAAATTCTTCATGATAAGCGTCTGTTTTGTCAGATCTATCTCTAAACCTATTACACGGTAGTGCGAAAGTTATGTTGCTAACTCACTTCTGAGCACCTAGAGCTTACGAACTCCAGGATGGTTACGAACTCCAGGATGGTAATAGTAAAGTGGCATAAACGGGCAGTTTATAGGTGGTCACGTTGATCTCCCATTGGTCCGCGCTTAGAAAGCGTTAGGAAGCAAGGGAAACTCATTTTGATCTCAGATGAAGGCGAGTTCTTTGCCACATCCTAAGCGACCAGTCAATGAGGTGGCCTAAACCGTATACGGCGAACCCGGCAGAATGAGACAATGAGGCAGCCAGCGACAGAGAGGGTCGCGTTGAAGGACACTAAGATGTCCTTCGGGGTACATTTTGGTGGCAGTAAGCGCGACTCTCAACGTCTCCGTCGTACCTATTGAATTCCTAGGAAGCAAAGAGGCGGGAAAGGAAGGTGGAAAGAGTACGGATAGCGAGACCGCCGCTGGAGCTATCGATAATATTGATAACTACCTACCAATAAGGTGATCAGCTGTTTCGTCCTGTGGTCCACTTATTATTCGTGTTACTGCTCCTTCGTAAGGCACGGAAGTATTTCGACTCTCTTCGAATCAATATGGATAATTGCATAGCATGGACGCCAATTGGCACAGCGTGTTCGTTCCACACTGGCATTGGAACGGTCACGGAATCAACCTTTAGAAAGCCTGAGTCTTTGCAACCCCTATAGGTTATTACCTTATTCTCTATAACACCTCCAACGCAAACTAGAAGTGTAGTGGCAGGTGGCGCTCACGAGACGTCCCACTACAAAGTTCGATTCCGAGGGCGATGCAGGTTTTGATCGCAATGCGGAGACATTCGTTTTCCGGACAGGGTCATCACACGGTCTCGCCTTTCATTGTTCGCCGTTGACCCGATGATCTCCTTGACTTGACTCCTAGTCTATGAACTTCACTACCGTCTCAGGATTTCCGGTTTTCATCACAATGTAAATTTGTCATCCGCAGCTCATTGATCAAGAACATCTCGAATTTAGGAGCCGCTGTTCCACATGGCCTAACTGGATTTCGTCGTAGGATCCGCTTCTGTTTTATAAGCTAGGTGAATAATCAATTGCTACTTATATTTACGAGTGGGAACCATTCCAAACCTCGGAGCTAGAGAATTGACACGAGGAAACCTGAGCCTTCTCAATGACGTTTTTGCATGATAGAATCGTCAAGCTGAAAGTAGTTAGACAAAATTTTCAAAGATAGCTGGTCACCAGATTCTGACTACATCCATACGACATTCACAGCTTGTAATCGGTTAGGAGAAGGTTTAAGGCATCTGAGCTCCGCAAATCACGGCATGCTTTCGGTAGCAAGGCGGAATTCTTCTGTTTCTCAACGTCGACAGTCTTCATGAACCTTTCTCTGGACAGGATAGGCAAGAAGTATAATGAACGAGACGACGTAGACATCTCGCCGGAACACAGGGAACAATAGGTGCGGCCACCAACGCCTAACATCAGTATCATTAGCAATGCAGTAGAGTTTTTGTGGCGCATTTCTCGGCCGCGAAAATATCGCAATATCGGGCACTTTCATTGATTGCTACACCTAAACCAAAGGTATTGATTCACCTCAAACAATCGCAAAGTGTGCCTTAAGCGGATAACTGACATTACCTGGATTGAGCGCTGTACTTGGTCCTCCCGCTCCCACTCTATGAACCGTGCTCCCTGAAACAAATGTCGATTGCATTGCGATTGTGTTAAGAAACCATTCAATATTCAGCGAAATAGTGCTCGGGTCCTGTACTCGAGAAATGTTGTCTCTAGTTTGCTCCGGTTTACGTAGTTTCCAACTTTTGACGCGTCACTTCTCAAAATAACTCGGAAAACAGGACAAAGAATTGGTTGAGGAAATTCATTCTGACCTATTGTTCAAACTGCGTTATTCAAATCTTGCTCACCATTTCCAGCGCTCTCGCAAAAGGTTCGTCGTCGACTTGGATTGCTGGATCGTACAGTAGCACCACGCGCATACCCCAACTCTGCACTTCCTTTAAGTATTCTGCTAGGCCCTCGAATGTCTGCAAAAACTTGAGTTTGCTACCAGTGTTCACGAATTTGTTCCAGCCACAGAATCCGTTAGCCTAAGTAGCTGCTTTCCGCGTTAATAATCGCTGATTAGAGCTCAGTCACAAATGTACGCTGACCGAATTATCAGCACAATTATTCATCGCTTCCAAGAATACCAAGAAGTACGCACGCCAGTTTCCTGTCAAAAGACCTTATTACCTTTATTTCCATTTCTCATGACACAACATGATAGACACCCTAGGTCACGAAGAGTTGAAGGGCAGCTGATACGACGAATCGAATGTTGGAGAAAAAGGCTCTTTTCAGTGAAAGGAACACAGTGTTTTTGCGGGAACGGTGCGCGTGCAAAACAAAACAAGGTTTTACCCATCTCTATTGACGCCTTCATGTTTGCCTTCCAAACAGTGGCTGAACAGCGCGCACCTCGTCGTCGGATCATGGGTTGCAGGGTTCAAGCAATGAGTTGGCGTCGATGACGGCTTCTACTACCTCTTTAAAATCAACGGCTCAAAGGGGTCTCGTTTCGCGAGTTTTCTTTTGTTCTTCTCCGCCACTGCACCATTAACTACCACAATTTTCTTTTCCAACAGCGAACAATTTATCGTCCCCTCTTCAGCCTTCAGGTCAGACTCTTTGTACTCCTCGATGGGCTTGAACTTTAGATGGTCTAGATGAACCCTCAGAACCCTGAATACATCGCTGAAGGTAATACATGGAGAGGCAACCGTAAAGTGGGAGCTCATAAGTGTATCGGGGAACAGGACCTTTCCCACTCATCAGCGGATTTTTCTAGGTTGTGCAATGGACATATGCGGAGATTTGGAGTATTCACGAGAAAATGTGCCTTCTTTTCATTAAATTACGGCTGAAACGAACCTTTCCAACGGTGAACATTTTATATCGATCCATGAAATCAATGTCAACAACAACAGTTTCCAAGGGGATACCGGCCTTCATGTTCCTTTCTATGGTCGTTTTCAAATCATCCAAATCCTTGTAACCATACCGTGACAACTGAAATCACTAAAACGTTAGTCCTTAGCTGACGATGAGGAGGTGACTTAAGGGCACATTTCGGGATCGTAGCTATGAGTTATCGCGTTCATGCAGGAAATTAGACGTGTCGATTGGTTCAACAGCAATGAAAAATTTGGGCATTTTTCAACCACTGCAACCCCAAAATCTCAAAATTCTATTTTCTGTCCAAACTTTGCCTATATGAGTAATTTGATGTCCTGACCACGGGACTGACACTAATTTTTAGTGTTGGCACCATTGGGTGACATTTGCCCCATTTTGGTTGCGTGAAATGCTATTCGTCTAGCAGGAGTGCCGCGGCTTGAGAACAGTTGAATACGACTTCCCGCCGATCTCCATATTTCCTCTTCCATGGGGATTCGCACAAGTAGTCCTCTTAGCGTAAATTTGGTGAGAACGCTGAGCAACGGTTGTGAAAAAATGTAAAAGGTGACTGAAGGCTCTAACATCACAGTGCGAGGCACGCATGAGCGGTTTAAGCCGTTTGGACACGGTGAGCACCTGAATGAGCGTGCATTATGATGTTCCTGCTGTAGTCACGTACAATGCGCGACGATTGACGCGCTTAAAGCGTGTGCTCGCATCCCTTTTATCGTTTTCTTTGCTCCCTCTCAACGGAGGGAGAATGTGTCGAGCAGGCCCGCGCAGAGTACTAAGCGCCGTTTATGTAGAAGGTGGTTGATTGCCACACGACCAACTGCCGCCTCACGTCGGATGAGGCGGCACCCCGGGGATCACCTCCCCTTGCTCGCGCGCGAAGCGGCGACGTCGCTCCATTTTTGGATCGTTGCCCAGGATGGCAGGGTAGCGTCCTTGCATAGCAAAGCAGCGTCGTTGATTACGTTCGCTCTCACACTGTACGTGACTGCGGCAGGAACATCATAATGCACGCTCGTTCAGGTGCTCACCGTGTCCAAACGGCTTAAGCCCGCATGAGCGGGTTCTGCGCTGCACCCCTGTCATTGGTCAGCTTTTCTGACATATCAAGGTATGGTAATATACGGTAAAGAGGTCGGTAGATGTTAGAGATGAAGCGCGAACTCTACCCACATGATCGGCACGCAAGCGACTTCAACGACTTTCATGTTCGTACGCACCAATCCACAACGATTCAATCGATTGATAATTCGCAGGCACAACATAGAAACCGCTGCTTTGAAAACTTTTTTCTCTTTACAAATGCCTTACTTGAAATCCTAGCGCCCAATAGGCCGGCAGGATTGGCTTTCCGATAAGGGACAGATATTGCTGAGTCACTTGTTCAGGAGTTGGTCCAGGAAAAAAGTACAAATCCAGATTTCCGCCAATTGTTCGGTAGATTATCGCGGGACCAGGTGCTGTAGTCACTTCCTGGAAATGATAACCTTCTGGTAAGGATGGTAGTCAGTCTTTTGACGCAGACAAAGACTACCTGCGCATTGCTGTTAAGGATAAGTACTCCATGAGCTTTGCCGTCTGGTTCGAGGACCATATAAAAAGGATGCACTCCTAAATTGAACGAGCCTTCACATTCGAGTGGGAAAGCTCTGGATCACTTATTCCGGGCGCTACCGTAGAGGTTCTTCGTATCCACTTCTGTTGAATGAGGAGGCTCATCCCTTGCCCACATTCCCCATGTGCGATATATGGAAAAGTCATGCTGAAGTAGATTTTTACAACACGTTCCACGCTCCAGAGTCATTAAGAATAGATTGAATCCAGAAATACCTTGAGCGTTGGGTGAGCATTTTCACCCCATCCATACATAGCGTCTGATGGCAAGTACGCGGCGATTTGAAGGAACTTGTCGGAAAATATCAAACCTCCTAAATAGGATCTTTGAGAGCCCCTCCTAAAAATGACCACTAAGCAAGAGAGAAGATTCTTTTGACCTATTGAGGTGTCGAAAAGATGTGTTCCTGTCGATTTTCGTGTAACTTTGAAATGAAAGGAGTCCTCTGACGATTCGGCGACATACTGAAATTCTTGAATCTATCCGTGGCTAATAATGCGCCACGCATTATACCTCTTTCCAAACTCGTAGTGGCGCTTGAATCTGATTGTTTGGCTTTTGGGGGGCCAGCCGATTATGTACAAGTCAGGGTTTTCACCTCCTCCCCCAACAACACGATCTGTACCGATTGACCGACTTCGAAGTGTTGAAGAGCTTGATCAGTCCAACCGATTTCAATCCGAAATTTGACCCTCGAGTCGAGAAACTGACATTAATGTGGTCTGTTTCCTCTGATCAATAAATAGTACCCCTCCGAACGATGTGGTTAAAAGTGTCGTCAACCCCTCATGATATACCCACTAAAGAGAAGACCCTCCTGAATTCATCGGGTCCGCCTTAAAGATCCATTCCAACAGAAGTCGTGTGAACAATCCCGTCTGTAGGATAGATCTTAGAGGACAGTCGCAGAGGCGACATTTCTGTGTACGGAAACAGCCCGACAAGAGTGCTTAGGGCTGTGCAAATGAGGAAGCAGCTGCGGTTTCTTTTCTTTTATCACGCTTTTGTCTGGCTCCCTCTCATCTGTTGTGCCTTTCGCCGCAAACTCTCCTCTCCCCGCATAGTCTCTTTGCCTTAGCACAGCCCATTGCAAAGGTGAATTAGCCCTAGATCTACGTTTTCAACGGATTCCTTCTTTTTTCCTTAGCTACCATTTCGCCCCAATAAATTCGCATTCGTGTGCAAGAACCACACCAGTTTGATCCAGGGGTATACGAAAAACAACGAAAACAACGATCCCCGCTGCAGTGAGCTATGTGCATATTATGCGCTGGCTAGCTGCAGCATGACCCGCGTATGTGGGCATATCTCAACCTTGGAGTTTCTGACTTAGAGCCGTAGGTATCGTACGGACATATAGCTATATAGGGACTGTATCCCTTAACACTCCGACCAATTCTTGGCTTCGAAACGACTTTCTAAAAACTACTTTCGCAGCCTGCTGATCTGCTTTAACACTGATTTTTACCCTCTGTTTCAGAAAACCAGAAACGCATCGATCGCAGACCACACACCGCAAGTGACGAGGTCACCACAGAATGCAAATGTTTCCTGCCACTGAAGTGATTAGCCGTTTGCAAATGTATTCCATCAGTTGTCGCTAATTACAACTCTCATTTACAGACTATCAGCTATCACTATGAATAGCTACCAAATTTACTTTGAGGCTGTCGTCACGAGTTTGAGGTGTGTGATCTGCACTCGACGTGCATCTGATTTTCTTAAGCTGAGGGTGACTTCCATTTTTTCGAATCGTATTTTAGACGAACAAAGAAGAACATCTATCCTTGTTCAGCATGGCGCACCTCCAAACTGTCTGCGGACTTGGAGGGATTTCTTGGTAAGTCCACTGGAGGATCGTATCTGAGCGAAAGCAGAAAATTAGTGTAGGCATGTTCTACCATCTTCTATCAAATACAACCGTTACCGTCCTTCTGCAAATATTTTCACATTGAGGGTCTTTCCGATGTAGTCGCTTTTAAATTTAATTTCCTCGATATCTTCACCCCATGGGTTTTTTGCGCCTTCTTTCTTCTTCAGTGTGATCACCTGGAATCTGCTCCATATTTCTTTTATTCACTATGCCTGGAAAAGAAGCGGTCTGCAAGCATAAGTAGAAGATCAGAATCGAAGTACAGCAGATTACAAAAAAGGCTTTGTCCTTCGAAATTTGCTAGTTTTTCTAACGAAGGTAAACTCCTCTTAAAAGAGGAGCCTACGATGAGGTGTGAGGTCGGGCAAATCTTTTCCATATGCAAGCCAACCCTTAAGAATGCGGAATGGCGCAGTGGAGAGCCCCTAGTACGGTCTTGCCCCAGCTCTCTAGCACGGTCTTGCCCGAGCCGCTCGCGCCTCTGCACAACCGCCGATTGGTCACCTCCTGCCGTCTGAATTTAGCCGTTCCGCAGAGAGAGCATTAACGTTGAAGAGGACAGCTCCGAGAGAGTCTCATCAATGCAGAAATCAGCGGAAAAAGAGGCTCCCTTTCTCGGGTTTCAGGCCGTATTGCTTGTCTCGCCTCTGAGCTGAACGCTTATTTTTGTCTTGCTATTGATAGCTGTTTCAGTTTCTTCCACCCTTGATAAAGAGAGTCACTTCGCCTCTGGTACGTACATGCAGAGGTTTATGCTCGCCTCATGGGGCAGCAGGCCTATTTTCATTGTCTTTACTCTATCCTAGCTGTGTAGCTTTCGCCATCGATCCAATTCACTCCATTGAGTCACTGGCAGTCAGGTTTTCAGGGACCGTAGCTCCATTCTATGAATGTCTCAGCCACCTTGCAGTTTGTACAACGTCCCTATCGTGTACGATGCAGATGCACTGCCGTCTCGCCGGTGGGGCCTGAGGTGAGTTTGTCTTTCAATTACGGGTATTTCCCTTGTGTTTCTGAGATCACGTCAGAAACGCCAAAAGAGATGAGGTGTTCGGTGGGATAGTGAACATTTCCCAAGTCTTAAACCATGTTTAGGCCTTTCAAAACGACGTGAGGCCGAAACGCTGGCCGTGATAAAGTTCCCACCTACTAGACTCGTGCCAGAAGCGCTGTATCTTGTCGAGCAATAACGAGTATTTTTGATAGCAGCACCATCCGGAAGCCAGCGTGGTCGCTCCCTTTAAGGTAGCGTTCATAGTTCGTGATCTATTATGCGATCCAGACGCGCAATCCCTCTAAGGACCGCGTCTTAAATCGATTCCGTTGCATCGTATTATCGCGATTCAGACGCGCCAGACCGATTATGCGATCGCTCAGTCAATTTCCGAGGCGCTATCCTCGTGCATAGTGGAATGGACATGTAGTGCTCCACGTGTAGAGCGTATTGAAGGGTCTCAGTACTAGCGCTCCGGGGTATTGCGCGCTCCAACATCCAAACAGCACGCTCCAGTACAGCGTGGTTATGCTGGGACCTACTCAGCTCCTCGAAGGCTAAATGACAACTACAATAGCGAAAACCCTAAAGCACTCATCACAGGTCCTTCTCGTCTCCCTGAGAGTATGCAAAAATTTTTCTTTAGATAGCACCTTGGAGCCGTCTCCTGGAATTATAGAGTGTCCTTCTAGGATTTGGGCAAGCTGTTGATTGACCTTTCAACAAAGAACATGGCAACTTGCTCCGACGTGAACCAAATGCAGCCTCTTTCCTCGCATTTGTCGGAGAAGCACCTCGTTAGTGTGGCAATCCATACGTACTTCGATAGCATGTGATAGCTCAGCGACAACGCAACTAGCGCTATCATCCACGTCCCCGAGTGCGATAACCGCTCCACTCCTGTTCGAGGTGATTCTGTAGAGTAAGCAGTGTTATGACAGACTACTACGTCAAGAGTAGGGATGATAGAGCGAGCTAACCTTGGAGACAAGCTATAGGTTATGATCCACCCAGGTTCTTCTTTGAATGGAACGCATATCAGCCACGTTCGCCACGCAACCACGATACCGCTTTTCTACCGGCTTTTACTATCAATCTGATACCTCTAATCTAATCTAACCATAGATAATAATCTCTGCAATCAACAGTGTTTCAAGTGAAGACTTCGAATCAATGCAAAAGATGAAGCAATTGGCGCTGCTCAATCCATCTAAATATCCGCAAGCACTCCATTTCCTTTAAGAATCGTCCCCTTATTTTGAACACGATTTCAGCTGATCTGTCAGCCAAACGCAAGATCAATACTGCGGAATGTCCGAGGATTTTTGACCAGCAAAGGCTATTCCACTATTGCTCATATGAGGTTGCAATACAAAGTTCACGTTCATGGGCGACGCAGTTTAGCTAGCAATGCAGAAATGTTCACTGTTTCGGTCGGGTTTTCCATTTTCTTCTTTTGTTCACGATCTCTAATCACTGTACTCGATATCCGAGAGTTGGGGTCACAAGAAGTGACGTGCACTTGATAGAAGCTATGTGGTTAAGCTGCTTCCGACATACATCGCTGGATTTCAGCAAAGCATGCTGGCAACAGCTTATATACGCAACTTCTATCAAGTGCACGTCATCCCAGTGACACTCCTACCCCAACTTTCGGATATCAATTGTACCTTTCACTGTGAGTTCACATCAGTTCACTACCGTCCCAGATAAACTTCGGGAGGACTTCAATACTAGCATAATCCTTAAAGTTACGAGCTGCGTGGGCGTAGGCAGCATAGATAGATGTCAGACTCGGCGATTGTGCAACCGCGGCAGCACTCTGGCCGTTTGATGCATAATGGCCGAATTGATCGTGCGTCATTCATCCGTATGATTTGCTTTGTGCGATGCCGCTGTCACGATTACACAATCGCCGAGTCTGACATCTTCAATAGGCTGCATTCACGCCTACAAGTACAAGTCTGTGATTAGACGGTCACGGTCGTGCGTACAGACAACTAGCAATGCGCGGCAGTCAATCTCAGAAAAGGGGCGTGTCGGCAGCATTGCTTCTCAAGAAAAGCGCCATAGCTTCTTCACTGTAGAGCCAAACTCTACGTAACGACAATA